TGACTAAACTGTGGTGGTCATATGGGTCTGGGTTGACTCCCAAAGGTAATGAGTTCTGGAAGCACGCCCAATAATTAGCCAACAAAGTTCAGTCAGGTCGTCTGGACGGTTTCTTTTTTTGTTGAGCCGTTTCGTCCTTCATCCAAAGGACTTCATCAATCCGAGGAGCCACTAACAAACTCAGTCCCACAAGTAACTCACTTAGTATAGTGGACCAACCAATTTGCTGGTGATAATATGGTTTCTGGGGCCCGCCCTCTCCCCCATCGACTCCTCTGAGGCAGCCATAGCCAAAGTGGTTCAAAACAGCAAAGTTCATGCTCAATAATCCAGGTAAAAAACAACAAAGTTAAACGAATGATCCTCAGATTGATGAAGTCCTTTGGATGAAACGTCTCAACAAAAAATGAAACCATCCAGAGGTCCTGACTGAACACTTGGATTTTTTTTTACCTGGATTATTGAGCATGAACTTTGATGATGTCCAATAATTACATTCTGAACATCTCATTAAACTCCATCCAATGGTTCAAGAGATAAAGGTTTTAAAATCAAATCACGCACAATAATTTAGTGCTCAAATTCCATGCTGGGTATGACTCTCAGCTACCACCACACCAAATTATAGCTGAATATCTGTAAAACTGGCCGAGTTAGACTGTTTTTTAGTGTTTGCTGAGTTTTTAGGTGGCCGTCTTGAACAGGACATACATGTTCATCCAACTTCATGAGTTTACAAATAACAATGCTTCATTATAAGAGTCGAGCAGATTTTATGGCTTCATGTATTTAGGAGATGGTAAAAAGTACTAAGCTGCCAACAGTTCCATGAGGCAGAGGAGGGATGAAGGCGCTAATTATTTGACTTTTACACCCCCCACCCAAAAAAATCCACTTCTTACCAAATGGTGAAATCTCTGGAGCCAAAGCCGAAAACAGGAAATGTGCGCAGTCCGACCGCCCCCCCCCCCCCACCTCACCTCCCTGCGGGGGCCAGTGTGTGTGTGGGGGGGGAGTCAATAAATTAGCATGAGTGACAAAAGCGCGAGATCCCCTCGAGCTGTGCCTTCAATTAACATGACAAGGACACAGCAGGTCTTTGATTGAGACACAGGCACCTTTTCTGTGGGGACGGGAGCTGCGCAGGGACATGTCCACAGGCTGCAGGACAAAGACATGTCCAGACTGCAGGACAAAGACATGTCCACAGGCTGCAGGACAAAGACATGTCCACAGGCTGCAGGACAAAGACATGTCCAGACTGCAGGAGGACAAAGAGGATTTTAAGTGGTTCCAGACTCCTCCATGGAGGAGAGCTCCCTCCTCATGTCCCTCTGAGGCCAGAGGGTGTGTGTGCGCGCGCGCGCATGTGTGTGTGTTGCTTTAGTCAGGAAAACACAGCTCAGGCACGTTCAAAAGTTTCACACAGTTAAAAGGAGGCTCGATAAAAAGGCTGGGGGGTCGTGGAAAAGTAACCGCAGTACTCACCGTCACAGGTTACTGCTGGAAACCAGAAGAAAAGCATCCAGAGCGTCCCGAGGGGGGCGGCCATGGCTCTCCTTTAACTTTTCATGCGACTCAAACTAAGCTCGCGCACGTTTTTTGTCTCACTCCTTGTAAGTTTTTGTCTTCCTCTCTCTCTCTCCTCAGCAGCGGAGCGCGTTGGGAGACTGCGGCTCGTGCGGGAGCCGCGTGAAGGTGCGACCCAGCCTGGGACTCCGGGAGGAGAACAGAGATGCGTTCATCCCGAACAGGAACCAAAGAGTGGCGCGCGCGGCCGCTTCCTCCCCGCTGCTGCTCCTTGAAGTGACCGCCGTGTCCTCGCGCTGAGAGGACGATGAGACTCCAGCACGTGCGCACTCACACGCGGTGCGCAGGAACCTTTTGTAGAGGGGCCCCCCATCTACAGACAGAGCCAAACAATCCTCACAGCCAGCCGAGCACAACTACAAACTTATTTATTCTGATGAAATATTGAACATAATGATCAACGTCATGGACAAACGACCCCAAGTACAAAACTAAATATCTTTGTCACTTGAGCAGTAAGTAGGAGGTCTGGGACTAATTAGGTGAGGAATTTGTATTGGAGCATGTTGCTGCACAACAGATCTGTTTGTTTCCTGTTGTGTAACCACATCTGGTTCACCTTCACCAGCCTGCTACCTTTTCTTTACCTGCCATGAATGGCTCACACTTTAACAAGCTGATTTATTTAGCAATGGGGTGCTGTGTAAAAGTGATAAATATCTTACCTGTTGTAGATGACTTCAGCCTCACTTTGGGTTTGTTTTGCAAACTGAAATGGTAACAGCAGTGATTTTATAAATCACATTTTTAGCCGGAGGTCCAGCAAAAATATTTATGACGCTTCCTCCAAATATTCAAGAAATTTTAAACTGACGAATAAAAGGGCTAAATCGTATTTGGTTAAACCACGTTTTTAAGATTGGAGAGGTTTAACTGAATCACATCGAAGTGGGTCCATTTTCACCGTGTACGTCAAACTAAAATGAGTTTATCTTAAGGGGGCCATTTACGAAGTAGATTTGATGTCTAATGTAGAGGGCATGGTTTCCACAGTGTCCAAAAGAAAAATAATCAAATTTCTAGTGGAAAAAAGAAAGGCCTGATTCCAGCCTCAAGTGTAGTACTTGTGCTTGTACTCATAAAAACTACCCGACACGTCAAATGCTTGGTGATTCATTTCCTCTTCCACTTTGCAAATAAGAGAGGAGGAAAAAATGTCTGCAATTTAGAGCTTTTTAAGTTAAACACAGCTGATATTTCTTCTTATGAGTTTCTAAAGTCACTGCTTAATGTTCAAGTACAACTCAGTATCGGTACTCGTTATTGGCAAATACCCAAACTAGAGTACTTGTACTCATTCTGATAAAGATAAAAATAAACAACTGTATCGGAACACTATAAATTTCAACTCCTCAGACTACAGAGCAGTTTCACACGTTACCTCAGTCCATTTTAAACAACTGGTCCAGTCAAGATGGCAGCTTTTCTGCATCATAATCCTTTGCACGATAGAGCTTTAACCAGAGTTTGTAGATGTTAGTGTGTTGTGCTTACAGACAATGATTTGTGGACGTGTTCCTGAGTCCATGCAGAAATGTCCAGAACCGAATCAGACCTGTTGTTAATGCAGTGGCCCCTGAGGGCCCAAACATCATTTACCTTCAGACTCTTCTTTTGAGCTCAGAGATTTCTCAAGATTCATCAAATTGGGCAGCACGATGGTTTAGTGGTTAGCACTGTTGCCTCACAGCAAGAAGGTCCTGGGTTCAGTCCCTGGATCTGGAGTCTTTCTGTGGGGGGTTTATGTGTTTTCTCCAGATGCTCTGGTTTCATCCCACCAGGCCTCTGTTGCAAAAGAGATCCGTGATCTAAAAGTGTGTCTGGTTAAATAAACATTCATTTATTTGATATGAACTGTGGATGATACCCCCGATTATTTTTCCATAGAGAAATATTCTGAAATTGGTTTTAGATGCAGTATTTTCTGCAGACTGGTAAACCTCTACCCATCTTTACTTCTTAGAGATTCAGGCCCTGTAGTGTTCTAGTGGTGTAGTCTACGCGATACGCGGGTATACGGAGTATACCCACTAGAATAACTTAAGAATTTCAGTATAACCACTTAAAAGTGCCCAAGGATACATGACGTATCACTACGTGTCACTGATACATTAAACGGCAGTAATCTGTCAGTATGCAGCACTTGGTTATTACATTCGCCTATCCAGCAAATTGTGTAATTAATACTTCTGTACTTAATACTTGAACACGTTTTGCTTTGATACCATTTATAAATTCTAAAACATGTTTTAATACAAAACTGTTGTACAAAGTTTGCTGTTCATGTATTCAAATATAAGCATCACAGAAATTTGGAAATGTTCAATATGCTTAAAAATGTAAATAAATTGATGATTAAATTGTACTAACCAGTGTACTTTGGTTTCTAAACACAATATACGGCCACGGTAAAGTTAGCTTTACGCTGGACATTCGCATTCCGTGGCTTCAACGGTGTCCAAGGTAATACTAACTTTACCGCAGTATAACCACTACAAAAATGTAGACTACACCACTGGTTCGTACCCACTCCTCTTACTGAGCTGCTGCTGATCAACTTTGCTGCAGAACGCTCCTGCAGCCGTTTACTTCCATTTTACTTTGGAATCTTTTTGTTGTTCCTGCCTCAACTATTTGGAGACGTATGCATCGCTGCTGTAGGTTTCAATGTGACCCGTGTGTCCTCCAACAAAAAGGTACAACACATTTGTACAGTTCACCACGTTCTATTGTGAACAGAGGTTTATGAAGTTTGCAAACCTTTGCATTGGTTTTATTTACTCAAAATGTTTTGCTACCACTCACAGGAAACTGCAAGAGTGCAGTGAGGAGTATCTGGAGTGTGGTTGAACGACTCAGCTACAGCCACAAAATCTTAAGTTTATAAAACTGACTTTTATTTTTTTTAAGTTAATCGGTTGTAGATGTGCACTCAACGATGAGTTTCCCTAAAGTCTGTCCAGCAGTTCATCAAACGCTTGCACCTTTGACAGGTGATAATTAGCCCCTTCCTGTTAAACCCCACTGACCTTCTGACATGCCAGTGGAACAGTTGTGTGTGATTTCATTTCCAGATCAGAGGTCTGACTGCCAAAGTAAATTGAACAGAACGTTCCTCACAGACTCCAACATGGCTGTTTGGACTTAAAAATGATAGTTGCAGTAAAAGGTTGTTTCACATTCTCAATGAAGTCATCTCCCACGCAGTACAACCTCTGCAAGTGAACTTCTCACCTCAATGTTTCACGGTTGTTCCGAGTTGTTTTACAATTAGTAACGAACTTTACCTTCAGAAAGGGGCACACCATTATGATTTAATGCCCACAGCATATATAAACTTGTTAAAAGACCATGGATTTAAAATGACCCTGAATCAAAAATAATGTGACCACTCACAAGAGAATGCATTTCATATCAATCATTTAATTCAATTATTTATATATAATACAAGTCAGAAATGCAGCGGCATCTCACAAAACACAAAATCAAGACAAGCTATTTAAAAATAAAAGCTTAATTGTGCTAAATCTCAGTGGCATTAAAAACAGTGCATAGCTCGTATCTGCAGACGTCTAACAAGAACAAAGACGGCTCTTTGGTCAGGAGAAAAAGTTCAACAAGTCATTAATGTGTGGAAAGAAAGGTGTGGTGCTCCAGAAACATGTTTTTTAATTATTATTATCATTATTAATGACTGAGGCAAGAAAAAGCTGACGTAACATTCACAAAAATGGTCAGTATTCAGCGCATCCAGTATGAGTTCATTACTTTAAGACAAACCGAAAGAAAAGGGGAAACAATAAAAACTGGATATGTAGAGGATGTAGTAGAGCTTTTAGTGACACATTCAGTGTGCAGAGCTCAGAGTCTTTGGGGTCTGGTGGGAGTTGTAACCCTCACGTTTCCTTCACTGTAAACAGTGGACTTCTGCTTAATCTCCGACGATGGCTGCTCCCCTTCAGCTGCGACAGACCCCCCACTATTGTTTGAGGAGAGCCGAAGCTGCCTCCTTCATACAAGACACGGACTTCTGGATGTCTTCATCCGTCTGTTTGATGGTGACCACCACTCTGATGCTGAAGACAAACAGGACACGGTGAATTATGAAAGGAGCAACTTGCGGATTACACGGACTCATGTTTGAACTCTGGTTTTTGTGGTTTTAAGCAAGTATTCATTGAGCAGAATGAAAACAATGGCTGATGATCTTTATATTTAAAAATCAGTTCAAGTTGATCAAAGCACTTCACACTTAAAGCAAACTAAATGGAATTAAACTTACAAAATGATATATAAACAATTTCACAGATATAAAAAACAAGGGGTGGTCTGATGCCAGTTTTTATCAAACCAAGTACAAGTACAGTTTATCGCAGGGGATCTGTACCCTGAAGAACCCACGATAAGTGAAAAACCACCAAGTAGGAATAGTGAAAAAGTTTTTTTATTTCAGTAATTGCATTCAAAATGTGAAACTTGTATATTATATTCATTCATTACATACAGACTGATATATTTCAAATGTTTCTTTTAATGTTGAGGATCGAGGATAATCAGGATAATCACTGTGAAAAATCACATGTGGCTGCTGATCCGCTTCATGTTGCTGCTGATCCGCTTCATGTTGCTGCTGATCCGCTTCACGTTGCTGCTGATCCGCTTCACGTTGCTGCTGATCCGCTTCATGTGGCTGCTTATCCGCTTCATGTTGCTGCTGATCCGCTTCATGTTGCTGCTGATCCGCTTCACGTTGCTGCTTATCCGTTTCATGTTGATGTGTTCATTTGTGCTCATCTGCTCACACAGACTCATGTTCGTGCTGCTGTTCGATGTATTGTTTTTATGTTATTAGTGCTTAGTGTTTTATTTAGTTGATGTTTTTCTTAGTTCATATCTTTGTTCTTATTACTGTTTTTCTTTTACATTTTATTGTTGGATGTAACTGGGACCCTGTGTACATAATCTCGTTCCACCACATGTACCACATGAGATGCGGATGACAAATCTCTGACATGGGCACCGGCGACCCCCGTGACCCAAAATGGAATAAACGGGTAAAGAAAATGGATGGATGGATGGATAGATAGTTCTGTAGGCTACACAATCATGGGGAAGACTACTGACTTGACAGTTGTCCAAAAGACGACCATTGACACGTTGCACAAGGAATTCAAACAGGAATGCCACTGTCAAGGAAATAACAGAATGGGCTCAGGAATACTTCCAGAAAGCATTGTCAGTGAACACAATCCACCGTGCCATCCGCCGTTGCCAGCTGAAACTCTACAGTGCAAAGAGGAAGCCATTTCTAAGCAAGCTCCACAAGCTCAGACGTTTGCACTGGGCCAGGGGTCATTTAAAATGGAGTGTGGCAAAATGGAAGACTGTTCTGTGGTCAGATGAGTCATGATTTGAAGTTCTTTATGGAACACTGGGACGCCATGTCATCCGGACCAGAGAGGACAAGGATAGCCCAAGTTGTTATCAACGCTCCGTTCAGAAGCCTGCATCACTGATGGTATGGGGTTGCATGAGCGCTTGTGGCATGGGCAGCTTGCATGTCTGGAAAGGCACCATTAATGCAGAGAACTATGTTCAGGTTCTAGAACAACATATGCTCCCATCTAGACGTCATCTCTTTCAGGGAAGACCCTGCATTTTTCAACACCATAATGCCAGACCACATTCTGCAGCAATCACAACATCATGGCTACGTAGGAGAAGGATCCGGGTACTGAAATGGCCAGCCTGCAGTCCAGATCTTTCACCTATAGAGAACATTTGGCGCATCATAAAGAGGAAGGTGCGACAAAGAAGGCCCAAGACGATTGAACAGAGGCCTGTATTAGACATGAATGGGAGAGCATTCCTATTTCTAAACTTGAGAAACTGGTCTCCTCTGTCCCCAGACGTCTGAGTGTTGTAAGAAGAAGGGGGGATGCCACACAGTGGTAAAAATGGACTTGTCCCAACTTTTTTGGGATTTGTTGACGCCATGAAATTTGGAAACAGATTTTTCCTTTAAAATGATACATTCTCTCAGTTTAAACTTTTGATCTGTGATTTGTGTTCTATTCTGAATAAAATATTAGATGTTGGCACCTCCACATCATTGCATTCAGTTTTTATTCACAATTTGTTTAGTGTCCCAACTTTTTTGGAATCTGGTTTGTATTAAGCCGCAAACGTGAAGAAATGTGCAGCACGTCAAAAACTGACTGGTATATTTTACACATTATAATTCATCAGGAAGTACTTGTATATTGTCTGATACTCAAACAGAAAGCTAAAAAAGATGAGTGAACCTTGATGGTAGGCTCAGCTTTATGCTTCATGCTAGATCTTGGAACATCCCATACCCTGCTCAGACATGACATTAAAGTCCTTCTGCAGCATCAAATTTTAGTTCCCTGCTCTGCGTACCCCGTCACACACTGAGCTGTCAGCAGAACAGCAAACATTCAGCTGTCTGACAGCAGGCGTGACGTTTGTAACATTACAGCGCAGAGAGGAACACAGAGCTCTGTCTGAGCAAAGACCGAGGCCCTAACCTGTAAATCTGCTGCAGTAAGACCTCCGACGGTGCAGTCCGCCGCTTCCTACACAGCTCCACAAACGTGTTTAACATGAGACACAGCACCGATTCAGGTGATGGACACAGAGCATTTCACGATGCAGTGACCACAGAGAGTACAATCAGCTCTGAAATTATTATTATTATGAGCCATTCAGGTAAGAACTCATCAGTTCGATCTGTTCCTACATCGTTCAGGATGGCTGGTCTCACTGGGCTGCAACTGGTGGCAACAAATTGCTAATGGCATTTGCAACAGAGTTTCTAAAACGTCTCGAAATGTTTCCATGGGGGGTGGGGTTCCAATTTTTAGTGTACAAGTTGCAGTGTTTCACTTCCATATTGCCGATTCATTGGAAAGGTTTTCAAGATGAATTTTCTTTCAACTTAGAGCTGGTGTGGTCTTGGATCCCGCTCAGCTGAATTTTTCTCATTCTAGTGATAGAGACGTGTTTTTTTGGTGATTTGTTTGCAGACTCATGGCAAAGTTTAGTTTCAGTAGGGGTTCATGCAAACATGTCAAGGTTGCAACTGAACATTCCCATCTTTTCTTGCAATTTTGTATTTTCTACTAGTCCTCCGCAGTTGCAGCCCAGTGAGAGACTAGTTCTAAACACAGATGTGGATTAAAGAGGGGCTGCCTCATTATCAACAGTCTGTAGACAATATGGAGCCGAGTGCCCTGGACCAGCATTCAGGGAACTCTGTCTAGTCAGGACTAACAAAAGCATGAACCTTTTCCAGGCCTGACAGGAAGATGTGGTTTGACCACAACAACTCTGACTTGGAGAAAGCTCCATTTAACAGCAGCACTCATCAGTTTATCCACCGTCAAGAGCCAGTCAAAAGAAATCTCTGCAGCTAAGTGACTGGGAGGAGCTGGAGGACCGTGATTATGCAGATAAATTTAGACATACATGGACTAAAATGGAGGAGAGCCAATAAAATGTATCACCTGAAAGGTAGAGCCTCTTACCTGGGAGGGGGTAGGAATCTCTCTTCTTTTTCCAGATACCGAGCGAGAGTCAGAGCCACATTTCTTTCCAAACACTAAAACGCCAAAGACATGAAAACTTAGATGCAGATCTTTCATGGCGTTATCTCACCAATGATTCAAGCACATCGTCAAAATATAATGATGATGTAGTTTTCAGAGCATAAACTTAGTAACGTTCCAAAGACAGAGCAGGGATTGGTTTAGTTTTCCACGTCCTCATAAAGTTAATGCTGCAGACAGATGCTGGAAAACTGTTCTCAACAAACCCCAGGGTTAGATGTTTACAGACCAAAGGACTGCTAAGCTCCAGTCCTAGTTTTGTATTACTTATGTCATCATCTATGGCATGACACAAGCCCACATGTTTAGCCGACTCAAACAAGACTTACATAATCTACAATGGAGCGGAGCAGCTGCATGTCGGAGACTCTGGAGCCTGAACTTCTCTCCAGTTGTAAATGAAGCGCCGGTCCACACGGGACTCCTACTAATTTCAGACCTGGAATCCTGTTGCACAGAACCACAAACCAGGACACATTTAAACACGGTGCAACCTAAAAACAAGTTTGAAGACCTTTTTATTGTTTAAATTCTTGTCGTCTCAGATTTTCTTCTACACAAATGACATTTTTAGTGTCACAAATAAAATGGGAGTGTGTAACTTTGTTAGATGAATAAAATATGATGGTTAGATAAACCGAGCTCATGGAGAAAAGGGCAGAAACAAGATTTATTCTTCTTCTGCTGCCTTTCGTTTTATGTTTTGATTGTATATTTTTTTTTGTTTTCTATTGTATATAGTTATTTTGTTTTAATGAAATGAATACATTTCTAAATAAATAAAAGACCTGAAGACTTACTGCAAAAAGTATTGACTTTAGGGAATAAGTAGTTATACACAGGTTTTTTAAATACATTTTGAATCTTTAGCCATGTTGTATAAATTGCACCATACAACCCCTCCCCCACAAATTCCTTCAAAATCCAAAACTAAGATAAAACGGAGAGAATGCTCAACGGTTCTGTGAAATGGCTGCACAGACCAGTCCGTCTTTCTCTCCTCACAGAGGACGACAACCGCTTCCCGCTCAGATGTGAGTTTTCAGACAAAGTGGGGCGAGTGGGACCAAAAGAGGCGTGGAGCAGAACTCTGCTCGGCTGAAGCAGGACCTCCTTGTGTCAATTACAAAAGATTAAATTCACTTCACGGATCAAAGTTCGTGCTCAATAATCCAGGTTTAAAAAAAAAAAATCTAACAAAGTTAATCAGGTCGTCTAGATGGTTTCTTTTTTTTGTTGAGATGTTTCATCCTTCATCCAAAGGACTTCTTCAGTCCGAGGAGCTTGCTCTCACTTTAGCGAACCTCTTTGTGGTTAATATTTTTTTTAACTACAAAGTTGCTGTGCATCATCATAGATCTACCCCCTGTAATACATGTGCTTGTTGTTTAATCCCACAAGTGGGTGGCTGCACACCAATATCACATGTTCATCACATCATGGAGCCGCAGCACCGCAGATTACTCATTCATATCAGCCCGAGGTGGGCCGTCTTCAACCCCCCTCGCTGCCATGGACCATTCTGCAGACACACAGGGGTGACCAGAACACGTCTCAGTCTCGGACTGAGGCGTGCTGTGAAAGAGCCTCAAGACAAGGTGGACACTCTTGTAACCCACTTTGGAACTACTCCACCCTTAATTATTCTCTTCAGTTTCATCTGAATCCCAACGCCAGCCTGGACTTACCCCTGCAGAGCCTTGTAAACATGCTCGCACTTTTCTCTGAGGACCAAGAAAATACCTACAGAGCAGGAGACAGAAGACAAAGGTCTAAAAATAAAATCGCATTCTGTTCAGTTTATTTATAAAGCTCCAAGTCACAACAGAACACAACATTCATACATATAAAAATAATAAGTTCATAACATTAATGATCTGAGGAGCAGACTGCTTCGAGTCGAACTTCTCAACAAGTTCGGACAGAGCCCTTTAAGGAGCAGCCTGTCTCGAGGATCTCCACCAGTGAGGACAACAAACAGTGAACTTAGCAAAAACCAGATCCGGTACCTGGATCCTCCTCCATTATGTTTAGCGCCTCAATGGCAGCAGCGGCCAGCATCGGAGGCAGGGAGGCAGAGAAGCAGTATCCTTGGCCTGACAGGCGCTAAAAAAAAACCACAGGACAAGTTTTAACTACATCAAACATGGTACTAATTATTTATCACTAATAATTTGAGACACTCTTACAGAGTTCTGGTTTATTACCTTTGGTCTTTAAACTGTTTTTGAACATTTTCCAATAAAAACTAAATTACTCATTTATCAACATAAATACAATATTAGATTATAAGAGTGTCCTATTTTAAAGCAGCAGCAGCTACATCACTAAAATGAGATGTGGCAGCTGTACATTTGTTCTCATGCACACCGACGGCAGCAGGAAGCACAAACTTTGACCAAGAACATGAAGACAATGATCTGAATATAGGATTTACATAAGGTTCTCGTGAAAAGTTAATTCATATTTACCGTAGACCGGCGGATTAACGACTCCTGCTGACATTAGAGCTAACTACTAGCACTGCAGGGCTTGCAGCCTTCGTTACGTTCATGTATTAATTTAATTAAGACAAGAGTACAGCATACGGGAAATTATACGCCCATCAGCAAACTATTATACAACAATGCAACAATGGCCTGGACACACAAAGACCTTGCACGACCTTGAGGCTAGATGATGAAAGGATGCAATATGCCGTCTAAACGTACACATGTGTATAGTTTGGTTAAATTGGTTTGAGTGGATCAGAGGTTATGGTCTGGACAAGAGAACGTTTATGGGCGTACAGACGGAGACTATTCGTGGATCTCAACAAATTACGGTAGAACATCGAGAAAAAGATCCAATTTTTGTCGCTCATTTCAGAAAGTGAAACTCGTATATTACATAGATTCATCACACATCGAGTCAAATATGTCGAGGTTTGAATTCTTCTCATTTTGATGATTATGGCTTTCAAATAATGAAAAACGAAAATTAAGCCATAATCATCAAAATTACAAGAAATAAAGGCTTGAAATATTTCACTATACGAGTTTCACTTTCTGAAATGAGCGACAAAAAATATTGAACTTTTTCAAGATATTCCAATTATTTTAGATGCTCATGTAATGTCTGCCTTTAGACGGGCAAACAAAAAGCACATTCTACATGATTTAATTTGATTATTGTTTCCTACAACTATAAACCTATTTAGTTTAATTTCTCAGAAAATGCTGTTTTCATGGCAGCTTTCGAGTCGTAATCTGTGAAAACTGAAACACAGTCTGACCTGGTTGATGACCAATCTTTGGCTCACCTTCCCATCCACTATGAGGAGGTGCTATTTATAAGACTGAGTTTGTTGCAGCTCCTCAGACTGACCAAGTGTTTTGGATGAAAGACGAAACGTTTCAACAAGAAGAATCTGTCCAGAGGACCCGACTTCCTACCTGGATTATTACCAGTAAGCATGCATCAGGAGACCCAGTCAAACACTACATTCACCTGATGGTCGATGACAAACGAGCGTCCGCAGCAGAAGCCACCGATGGAGGCCACGGCGTTCTCCATGTTGGCACTGATGAGGTCAATATCATCAACCTGCACAGAGCAGCCAAGTGTTGAGGAATACCACATTAAATTATAATGAGAGCAAATATTAAAGATTTAAACACTACAAATATTAACATTTAGCATATTTAGACTATAAGTGTAAAACTTCTAATTAATTTTATTAGATCGTGCGGTTATAGATTAAAAACTGTAGACGAGAGGCGTTTAGCTTATCGCCTCCAAATAGATACAAATGAATACGTGGCAAACATTGGAGTGTGTTTTGTGTGGTCCGTTTCACTTTTCTCTTTTTAAAAAGATGAATAAACTCACATCGACCCCGAAGTGCTCAGTGACTCCCCTGCCATTGTCTCCCAACACACCAAAAGACATGCTCTCCTCCAGAAAAATCCGCACTTTGTATTTGTACTTGAGCTTCACCTGGAGAAAAAGAAAAGCAGACCGGTCGCAACAGAAAGACACAAGATAAATATGGCATCCCTGCAGGAAAAATTAAATCAGATGCAGCGACACTCGGGAGTCTCCAGTCCAACTTGTAAAGGTTTTGTTATAAACCATCAGCTCTGCAGCTGACAATCCAGCGCTTGTTGACAAACAGGAACTACTTGACCTTGAGCAGCAGAGGTTCACAGAAGTGCTTTGTGTTTGTCCAACAACCTATTTTAGTCTCAGACAACCAGATCTTCAAGGTTGGACAACCAAGTGACACCGACATGGATTAAAGTTTTCTGTCACCGAGACGGATTTACATGATCTGTAATAATGAAAAAGAGGGGGGGACTTGTGTTCTGTTGTGGTCTTGTTAAAGCTGTTTAACCTAATGATACAGGAATTAAAGTGATGCTGCTTTCAGCAAATAAACAGAACCAGAGCCACACAGTCTCAGAGCAGGCCGGGTCGTGATGTGGCCTGTGCTCCTGCAGGTGAGAGCCCCAATCAGTTTCTGTTCCATTTTCCAAGGAGAACACCCCACTACCCAGACAGGGGAGATACAGGTGATGCACCATCACCTCCACCCCACTGGAGCTTCTCTCTGCTGCTCACACCCACGCCCACCGTGACCCAGACAGCAGGACCCGCCCTGCACCGATTGGGTCAGACTGGGGCTCTGGTCCTCTTCACTGGTTGAAAGCAGCATCACTTTAATTCCTGCATTATATTAGGTTTAACAAGACCAAAACAAAACACGTTTTTCCCCTCATGTTTATTTTTTTTACAGATGACAGAAATCCATCGCAGCGGTGAAGAATTTTAATCCACGTTTTTAATATCACAAATATAAAATAAATGTGATCATTTTAAGAGGATAAGGACAAAATCATCATTAAATTGACATGACTGGACATCTTTTTGCTTTTACCAGCTCAGGGAGAGGACAGATGTCAGCAGTGTTGATGTACAGTCCCTCCACCACAATAAACTTCCTCGTTACTCGAGCTTTACGCGGATTCTGCAGCAAGAACAAACAACGAGCACGTTGGTTACAAAGAACACAAACGGGACAGCGCTGGACAAGAACCTGAAAGAAAGCAGGATTATAAAATGACAGGCTGCAGTTCCAACAGGCGTAAAGTACCACCTGACAGTCATAGTTACTCAACTCTGCAGCCCTGTACAGACCTTCTGGTCCTCCAGCTCCTGCTCCTTGAGCAGCCTCTCCAGATCCTCCATGTCATTGTGTTTAAAGTATTTGATGAAGCTACGGGAGGCCTGGAGTCCTTTTTGTATAGAGAAACAGGCTGCTTCATCCCTGAACACAAAACATCAGTTTACAATGTCGGCAGAGGCTGTTTGGAGCCAAGACAAAGTCAAAAAGTTGTTTTCTACAGAGCTCACTGTTCAACTTCCCTCCCAACATTCAGCAGAGACAGCACTCACACAAAGATGATGTCCCCCCTCTTGGAGTAGGCAGGGATCGCACTGGCAATAGTTGCAAAACCATACGAATAGATGATTGCCTCTTCCGTTTTCATGAACTTGGCAAGACGACTCTCCAGTTCCAGATGAACATCTGGGGGGGAGAAAAAAAACCCACAGAGTTACATGAAGATTTAATTTTCCACTGCGTGCTTCAGCTACACAAAGAATGATGGGTAACAGATCTGCAGCCACTTCAGTAAACGTTCACTTCCTGTTGGCAAATCCAACTTTTTATTAATACTCAAAAAGAGCAAAGAAACATAGTAACCCAATGGTGCACACTCAGTTTTAAAACTTATACCTCACAGTTTGTTTCCACACGTCTAATTAACAAAGTAAAATATTTTCTCTCACCAAAAGTCCCATAGAAACCTCTTGGACCACATGTGCCAACACCGTATTTTTTCAGTGACGCCAAAGCTTTTTCCTACAAGGAATGAAAACAAAGCAATGATGACAATTAATAATTAAAAAAATCTAATTAAAATATAAAAAAATATTTAAAAAAAATCACAACCTTAATGCGTTCGTTATCGAGCAGGCCCAGGAAGTTGAACGAGGCAAAGTTAATGCACTCTTTTCCGTTGATTATGATTTTGTGGCTCGGAGGTCTACGAGAAAAATAAATAAAATCATTAACACGGAGTTTAAAACCTAAATACACTGAGTTACAGTAATACCACTGACCCCGATTGTGAAAAGTTACATAAACGTACTTCAATGTGGATTGTTTAACTAGTCTTTACTGATAAATTTGATCCCTTAAAGGTTTTGATCTGGGACTTCTCTGCTCCTTTATTTACCCATGTTCACTTTCCAGAGCACCCAACACGCCAAGAATGACGGAAGACACAGAAAAATTTGACTTTTAATTAAAAGAAGCGACTGAGTAGGTGAGGTGAGCAGCAGCTTGTTCAGGAAGCATCAACAGATGATACTAATCAGGTTAGTTTTCTACAAGGCTGAAAGCATAGAAAGAATCGTAGATGGGATTTGTTCGCAATTTAATATAGAAACCTAAGGAAGCAAGAAAATAATAAAAATAAAACTGAAAGTTTTCTAAAAGCAGCTCTCTGCTGCCCTCTTGTGTCCAACACGTCCAACAACTTTTTTTTTTCCAGGGCGGAGGAGAGCCAGTCAACTTTCTTGGTTGATTACTTCTCATTTTTTTAGTTGGTCAGTTCCAATTTCTCTCCCAAATCTGTTACGACATATTTTAATTGTTGATAAGATTTCCGGTATCTTAATGAATAATAATGCGTCTGATCTCGTCACACAGATGGAGAACTTGTACTTCGTCTTCTTTCAGCTGCTCCCCTCTTTAGGCGCCGCAGCAAGTGAACACAAAAGAGGACTTGACAATTGTTTTTAGATGGATGCCCTTCCTGATAAACCACCAAACACTGAGCTACCATAGCCGAGCAGAGGGCTGGCATGTGGGGGCACCCAGGGGAGCAGATGGGGGTTTAGGGGCCTTGCTTAAGGACCCACAATGGAGCAAATTATAGTAGAGGCAGGTGTGGGGGCTGCAACTTGCCCACACACCTTCTTATTATTACAGTATGGAGATCTGAACTGGGTCGGGGTTCAGGTTCTGCCTCAAGTGCAGACGTTCAAGTGTCTCAGGGTTTTGCTCATGAGCTGCTGCCCCTCCACATCAAGAGGAGACAGTTACTGTGCTTCAGACATCTGTTAAGGATGTCTCCTGGACGCCTCCATAGGGAGGTTTTAGGGGCAAGTCCAACTGGGAGGAGACTTCAAAAAGACCCAGGAGAGGCTGGGAACACCTTGGGGTCCTCCCAGAAGAGCTGGAAGAGGCAGCTGTGGAAAGACATGGCTGGGACTCTCTGCTTAAGCTGCTGTGTCCGTGACCCAACTCCAAAACAAGCAGAAGATAATAGATGGAAGGATGTGTTCAAACGGGTGACCTTTCGATCAAACTCAACTTCTCTAACCTCTGCACCACCACGCCCCACTAAACGCTGACCAAACGTGAGTCCATCTGCTAACAAGAAGCTGTGGATCACTCATTTGAAGGTCCCACGGGTCAACAGGTCTCTGCTGCAGGTCGATGACCCTGGAACTGTCCATCATGTCCCTCCTACACAAACACTGGAGACCAGCCCAACACACAACAAGAAGACTAACTACCAAACCACCGTAACTATCAGACATCAAGGCTCAGTCATCCAGGTAAAAAAATCCAACAACGTTCAGTCAGGTCGTCTGGACAGGTTCTTTTTTTGTTGGTAGTTAAAAGACGTCAATCAGGTCCTCCAACTATCAGACTAGGGCGCTGCGGAGCCGTTTCGTTTTGTTCACGGGCAGTTCATTGTCAATGCTGACTGACTGAATAAAGTTTGAAAAAATAAATAAATAAATCTCTGCAGAACGAGTTGAACAGAGCAGAGGCTGTTTTAAAATGAAATTTAAGTAAATTTTACAAATGACCGACGCAGAGAAAACTGTTCGACCCAAGTCCTCCAAAGTGTGGGAGAACTTCACAAAGATAAAAACTGAGAAACATGCAGCTTTGAAAATCACCGACACGACACGTGAGAACCACGGAGATAAACGTAAACATGTCGGAGTCACAAGGAGGAGGAAGGAGCTGCAGCTGATACATGTTTCACTCCCAACTCGTGTTGCAGGTGAGTCTCTACAATTTAACACTTTGTTCTGTTTCAAGAGAGAAAACGTAACGTCAGTCTCTCTTGTAGATGAAGCTGTTTGTTTGTTTGTTTATCTGATTAATGACGGTGATAGAGAACGTGTGTGTGACTTTTTATTTAATTTAATTGGTACAAGCAGTGTTTAAATGTGATTTATAAATAAATCTAACACAAAGATAATAATTTAATGATTAAGCTTCAACTTTTCATTTGCTGGCAAAGTCTGAAGACACTGCAGGTATGGCAGGATGAATTGCATTTAAACAGGAATTAAAGTAATTTATTACATCTACTCATATGTGTGTAATTAAGTAATTTATATGTGTGTGTGTGTGTTTAATTGCTCTTTTAGCTACTTTTGCCTGAACCTAACACTGTAAGTGAAACAAGGCATTTCTTGAGTTGCTGTAAATTATGATATAAAACATATTTACTGTCTCATTCCAGAAAACAACAACAAACAACAACAGCCTTCATGATGGACGGACATCATGGACACCACAGCAGCAGCTGTCTTCACTGAAACATCCTGAACATGATCGGCACTGACATGAGGCCTCTGTCGATGGTTGAAAACGAAGGCTTCACTACAATAATCCACACTTTTAATCCAGGTTACACTCTTCCCTCAAGGACACATTTTACAAAGTAGCTACATATTGTGCAGGTATAAAGACACATTTGTATATATTTTTGTGTACATTTATTTTTTTAAGCTATTTGACTAACTTTTATTTTTTATTATTCAATATTTTACTAACAGAATAGTCAAATAGAAACCTGTTTTTTGTGTGAATTGCTATGTCAATCAAATGTTCAATTTTGAAATAAAGGGGTGGAAATGAAAACTTTTTTTTTGCCGATTCATCGATTAATCAGAAAATAATCGACTGATTAATCGATTATTAAAATGCGCGTTGGTTGCAGCCCTATATCAGACCTAACATTGATAAACTGATGCATGGATTAAACCATTTACTTTTGCTAAGATGTCATTTGGGTCAAAGTTGTGTGTGTCCACAGAACTAGCAGGTTCCTGAAATAGCCAGGTGTGAAGATAGTTGAGACAAAATAAACAACAGTACGCATACAGAGAGCGTGTGTAAAAAATAACGTTATGTAAATGAGGAAAGTGTTTTGTGTTTTTACCCTGTAACTACATCATAGCTGAGGGGAGGATGGTCTTTGGAAACTGGAGGGACCAGTGGCTCTGGCTGCCATTCCTCAATCAGGTCCTCTTTTTCCTGTAACCATGTGACAGCTGTTGGGTAGCACATAAAACCCTCCTACGAGTTATTTCTCACAGCACTGTGCTACGATTACCTTCTCCGTCAGTTTGTACGTCTCATGAAGTTTGTAGGTCTTTGAGAAGAGCAGCCTGATGATCCACAGGATCAGAATCCCCTCCAGGATCAGGTGATACGCAGGAGCCTTGGAAAGACACATGCATAAAGTTTGATGTTCACGTGCGATGAAAATGTCTTAAGACTTATGGTTTAGAGAGCAGAGGGGTCTACAACAAGTTGAATTAAAACTTAGAGGTTTAGATCTACTAAACTGTCTAACTATAGCAACACACTTAACAAAACCTAATCCATCCCTGATTTGTTTAATGTGATCAGTTTTAAAAGTGTTTGACTGATGTTAAATAGCACTGTATTGTAAAATAACAGAAATAAAATTCATATTTTTAATTGTCATGTTAAAAGTCAGTCAGTGTGTAACATTTTTAGTTCTTGTATTTAGAGTAGGAATGGGGCCGATCCGATCCAGTATCGGTATACTCTAAACTTTATAAATAAATCACTGAATAAACTCTAATCTCCAGACCACACAACACAGCTGGTCTCACCACTGTCTTGTAAACTTTTCCTTTGACCTTCGATGACACCCTTTCGTTACAAATCACTCCTGAAACTTTTCTCCATCCACTCCATCCTGTCTGGACTCTCATTCACACACACGTACTCTGTCTTACTACGGCTGACTTTCATTCCTCTTCTTTCAGGTGCATACCTCCACCTCTCCAAGTTCTCTTCCACCTGTTCCCACCACAGATCATGTCATCTGCAAACATCATAGTCCACGGGGATTCCTGCCTGACCTCATCTGTTAGTCAGTCCATTACCAGAGCAAACAAAAAGGGGCTCAGAGTCGATCCTTGATGCACTCCCACCTCCACCTTGAAGCGATCTGTCACTCCTACAGCACATCTCACCACTGTCCTGTCCTCGTACATGTCCTGTACCAGTCTAACATACTTCTCTGCCACTCCAGATGTCCTCATGCAATACCACACCATCCTCCCTCGGTGCCCTGTCATATGCTTTTTATAAATCCACAAAGACACAACGGAGTTCTTTCTGACCCTCTCTGTACCTCTCCATCAGCATCCTCAAAGAAAAGATGGCATCTGTGGTGCTCTTTGCATGAAATCATACTGCTGCCAGTGCTCACAAACAGCCTCATCTACACCACGCCTCGCTCACCAACAGCTTCAATTCTTGCCTTATCTCAAGCTACTTGAAAATCCTTGATTCTTTTCCACAACTTCTCTTCCTAAAAAGCAAATAAATTGGTTATCTCAAAAGGTCAAGCTAAGCTGGTAATCTGTTGCAAAGTGAAATATAAGAAAGCATTAAACTCAAATCTCCCATTGAGGAGATTCCCCACCAACCAGGTCCACCTGATCCAAGCAGCATGTTCAAATCCATCTGCATTTACCAAGAAAGGCGTCCTCATATATCAATCTGTCACATTACGCCTAAGGAACGATACTTAATAGCAGCCTACAAAAGCTGCCTTGAGGATATAAATTAAGTAGCAAAGTCAGGATTGTAAGAAAATGACCCAGTAACAAATGGTTGACAAATGTAACGGTTGCACAAGGGGGAGACAATTGGACACACATGCAGTCAGAGGGAAGTGTCTCCCAAATAAGACAGAGGAAAAAATTCACAAAACTTATTTTTTAAATGATCTGTGAGATAAAAATCTAATTATTCAACAATTTCCGGTGACCGTCTTCGTTAGGAATGATTTTGTTATGTGAATGAGTGCGTTTTACTTCAAAAAGGTTACCGGTGAAAACTGCGTCACATCTAAAATGTTGCGTTTGTATCATTTATAATCTGTGAATGAATGAACAGGCGTTATCTTAAGCTTTTCAACAAATGTTAAGTTCGCTGAAACTTGACGTTTGAGGTGTCCAGGCTTCCGTAGTTCTTCAGTGGTACGAACACTGGAGCGGAACTGATGAGGAAACACATTTCGGCAGAACACCGACCGCGGTAAAGTGCGCGGTTGTCTTCGTGGGTTTCTACGAACTCGTCCACCATGTTCCCTCTAACTTCACATCGTTTTACGAATAAACAGTAAGAGGCACTGAAGCGGCTTCGTCAAGCGTTAACCGTGTCACAGACAGGAGGAAAACCGAGGAGGAACAAGTTCAACTCAAGAGTAATCTGTTAAACACTCCATGAGCGGCATTAATGTAAATATTTACAGTACCTACAACAAATTGAGATTTCAACACGTGTACTCTTCACCATAAAATCACAAGTGTTTCTAGTCGACTGGGTAGATGAACAGAGAAAGATTACCTCATAAAAAGCTTGAACCATTTCCACCAGAACCCACTGCTGCCCGGACGCCATGGTCTCTTCCTGAAACCTGTTCTTCTTCTCGTCAAATCTCAGCTGGGAATGTTTTTAACTTGTTCTACCGCCCCCTGCTGGACATCCCGCCTCACTGCAGGCGTTCAGCGTTTTAGTCCATTACGTAAATCTGTGTCTTGACTCATTGCCATTGCTCCTTTCACCTCCTTATTTTTCACTAGTAACACAAATACATGGTCTTAAATAGTCCCTGTTATTACAACACAGTACTCTTCATTTCATTAAAAAAGTTATTTTACCTCCTGCTCCTTTTCATTCAACCTTTATTTAGACAGGTTAATCCCACTGAGCCTCGATGACTCATTTACAAGAGAGACCTGATTTCAACAAAGAATGATGACAACAATGGACAATAGCGACAACAATATACAATTATAAAAGATGGCAAAAACAGCTAGAATACAAGGTGAATGTAGAAAACTATAAACAGGAACATGTCTGCATTGGTCCTTGCCAGGAGTCCAACAGATTCTTAAAGCCACTTAGAGAGGTCAAGGTTGAAAGCTTCAGATCTTTTTGCAAGATATTCCAGAAAACAGGAGCGGAGTAGGAGAAGGCCCTTTTGCCTAGTTCAGTCCTCACTGAGGGAACACTGCAGGTAATAATGTCCTGAGAGCGCACTCCGTAGCTGCACTCACACAGAGACATGTAGGAGGAGATGTATGAAGGCAGCAGACCAAGAAGTGATTTAAAGATGAAAATGTACCAGTGAAGTCTGCATGAAGTTAATGATGACCAGTTAACCAGTGAATACAGGGTGCAGTGGTGGGTACGATAATCACAGCCAGTTATGAATCTTAGTGCACCATGATAGACAGCATCCAACATCTGCAGTGTGCTCGTAGGAGCATTCATGTAAATAATGTCACTGTAATCAATGGAGGGAAGGAAGGTCACAGAAACAAGGCATTTCCTAGCATTCAGGGTTAGACAGGATCTGTTTCTGAAAAAGAAACCCAGTTTAACTTTCAGTTTCTTTACCAAGTTTTCCACATGGAGCTTAAAAGAGAGCTGGGGGAGTGGTGGCGCAGAGGTTAGAGAGGTGGGCCTGTGATCCGAAGATCGCCGGTTCACGCCCCGGCCCCGACAACATCAAAATTGTGGGTGGGGTAGGTGAAACACCCACACTTGTCCCCACCCTCATTCGCCCCACTCTGGGCCCATGAGCAAGGCCCTTAACCCCACCATGTGCTCCCTAAACAGGTCTCTCTTGAAAATGAGTTCTCGCGGCTCAATGAGACTAACCTGGATAAATAAAGGCTAAATGAAAAAAAAAAAAAAGAAAAAAAAGAGAGATGTGAGTTGACCAAGATACCCAAATATTTATAGGAATCAACAAACTCAATCAGGACACCATTTGAGGATAAAATCGGAGGAAGAACTGCTGGGACCAACTTCCTGTTTGAAAAAAAAAAAACCATCCCTTTGATTTTATCAGCATTTAAGACAAGTTTGAGATGGAACAAATCAGACTGGATGATGTCAAATGCAGATTGCAAATGCTGGAAAGCCTTTTCAACTGTTTTAGCTCGACAATAAACAACTTTGTCATCAGCATAGAAATGCATGTATGCATCAAGGATGCTCTGACCTACATTAAATATGTAGATTGTAAAGAAGGTGGGGCCTAAGACCGAGCCTTGTGGTACACCATTGTTGACTGTTAAATAACTGGAGGAAGTGCCATTATGTTGAACACATTGCCTCCGGTCTGAAAGATAGTTAGAGAACCAACCAATGGTGTGTTCTGAGAAACCGATTTCTGAGAGTTTATGACACAAGATGTTATGATCCACAGTGTCAAAAGCTTTAGACAGGTCTAAGAAAAGTGCAGCACAATAATCCTTAGCATCCAGTGCTTCAACAACGTCATTAAGAACCTTCAGTGAAGCAGTGGTTGTGCTGTGTTGCTTCCTGAAACCAGATTGATGTGCAGGTAAGATGTTAAATGAGTCCAGGTAATTTTTGATTTGAGAGTTTATCAGTTTTTCCAGAACCTTGGCTAAAATGCAGAGTTTAGAGATTGGTCGATAGTTGTTCAGTGAGGTGGGGTCACCTCCCTTCAGCAAAGGAAGAACAAAGGCTGTTTTCCAAGCATCTGGAATGGAGTTTTGTCTTAAGATTAAAGATGTGGGACACAGGGACTGCGATGATGTGAGCGGCCAGCCTCCTGAACCTCAACTTCTGATATAGGTGATTCACCTTTTCGGCACTCTTCATCAATTATTTTTTATCTTTTTCTTTTGCCTTCGTTATCAGGAAATAATAAGATATATAGAAGTTACTTAACATATGCAGGATGAACAGCTTAGTTCTAAATAAGTTGGAATGTATAAAACCAGAATGTCTTGATTTGCAGTTCTCACAAAACTGTATTTTATTCACAATATAACAGATCAAACATATCAAATGTTTTACCTTCTTATCTAATAAGGCAATTTTGGATTTATTGGTAGCAACACAGCTGAAAAAAAGTTAGAATAGGGACAACAAAAGGCTTTAAATGTAAAAAAAAGTGCTTGTTATAATGACTTATAGGTTAACTGGCAACACATCAGTAAGAAGACTTGGTATAAAAAGAGCATTTTAGAGGCTGAATCTTGCAGAAGATGGGCAGAAGTTCACCAGTGTCAGAAAAGCTGCATCTAAAAATTGTGGAACATTTTCAGAATCATGGTCCTTAAAAAAATACTTTGAAAAGCCTGTCAGCTGTTCGTAATATCGTCAAAATATTTCAACAATCTGTAGAAATCTCTGAGACCAAAGGACAAGGCTGAAACTAAATATTTGATACTCGTGATCTTCTGGCCCTCAGGGGCCACAGCTTTTAAAACATTCTGTTATGGGCATCTCTGCATGAGCTTCTACAAACGATGCTTTGTAAACAGTTTCTTGAGTCATCCACAAATGCAGATTAAAGCTCTATTGTGTAAAAGCCATAAATAAACAGCATAGAGTAACTCAACCGTCTTCTCATTTAAAATGGACTGAGGTAAAGTGGAAAACTGTTTTTATCCAGACAAATCAACATTCAGTATTCATTTCTGAAACCAAGAATGCAATGCCATCTTTAATAAAGCAGAAAAAAAGCATCTAACAGACAGTTCAACAGCCTCCCTCTCTGATGGTATAGGGGTGCATTAGTGCTTAAGCAACTAACACATTTAGAAAGGCACCACCCTTGCAGTGGGATACACAACGTGCACTCCCATACAGCAAAGAAGATCCAGGACTGCTGAAGAGCTAGTTAAGAATGGATCAAGAAGTCCAGCAGCCGGTCCCATCAGATGTTTGCAGGCTGTTTTTAAAAGAAGGGATGTGTGAAAGCAGAGCAGGCCTCTCTGAGCGAGGGGTCATTACCTTCAGAAAGTTGATCTTTTCTTTCATACTCTGTAATGCTTTGCACATGGACATGAAACTGCCCTTTGTTTGGTCTCTGTAATTATTCTTTGCTTTTATGTTTGAAAAGCCGAAGCGTCTGGTGTCGTTAGCTCTACGAGCAGCATCTTCTTACATTGATGTGTGTTTTAATGAAACATTCAGAAAATGTTTGTTGCATCTACAACTGATTAATTTTTGGAGGCCCTCTAATTCAAGGTGGTCATCAACTTCAGCAAACACAAAAATGACTCAAACTCTACCATATACTGTATATATATATATATATAGGGAATGCTGGGTTTTTAATTTTTACATTATTCTTTTGAAGACAAATCTGTTCAGACTGACTGACTTGAGTTCATGGTAAATGATTGTTTTTATTAGTCTTGACTGAATTTTATTTTTGAATGTTCTTTGAATGGCTATCAAAAGTAAAGAGAAAGTATTCAGCACATTAGTTTGTTAATGGTAAAAAAAAAAACGAGCATTATATATATATATATATATATATAAAAGTGTTTAAGTTGGCTAATTGTGTTAAGTGTTTTAGAAAAACTAAATTGTAAACACTGTCACCGTTCAATGACTTATTTATTTTTTTAGTTTATTATTAACATTAGATGTAGGATCCTGTCTGGTTTCCATGGCGGCGCCAGAGACCAGGGTTTAACTCAGAGATGAGGGACAGACGCGGCCTGTGATTGGTGGAGCCGCGCGTGACGTCACGCCCAGTGTTTAAACGCAGCCTGGAGGATGAAGAGCTGCGGCTCCTCGGCGCAAACAGCTCCATGTTTTGGGACTTGTTTCCGGAGATCCTCGGAGGACTAATGATCCCATCATCAGTTGATCCATGAGCCCGGACCCGCCTCTCGTTATTCACGCATCAATCAGGTGAATATCACTTTTAGAAGTTTGTTTTTCTGCTTGTAATCTAAAGAGTAAAACTCAGAAAGTTGCCTATGATTCATCTGATGTTTATTAAAAATCCTGTCACACTTGACTGGATTAGTCCAAACCCAATTTTCACTGTGAGCTCACACTTACACTAACCAAAACATAAAGTAATTCAATTTTAATATATTTTTAATCATTTTTACTTTTAACTATTTACTTTACTTTGTCCAGTCTGGTCAGTTTTATTGCAGATTTAAACAGCAGGTTTTAAAATGAAAGTTTACTTAATTGTTTATATATGGTAAAACCAGGGGCGTAGCTATGAGGGGGGCTGGCTGGGCCAAGGCCACCGTCCTTCTAATAGAATGGTGTTTTAAATCAGACGTTGATGTGTTTAAATTTGATTAAAACTAAAGGTATTACATTCCTTAAAGAAATGCATATCGCCCGCCATCTTTCATAGTGTCATCTCGCTAAATGTGTTGAGGGGGACTCTCGGCTACTACCACACCAGACTTCAGTTACTGCTGTTTTTGTGTTGGCTAACGTTGATCAGCTTTGGGGATCTTAACTCGAGTTATTGAGTCGTAGATGTACACATGAATTTATTTGTTCAGTGAATTTATTTATTTTGCCTCTGTGAATAAGGTAAGAGTCCAACAACAGCTGTTTCAACATTTATTTTATCGTTTTAATTCAATTTTGTTTTAATAATCTACATTTTGTTCA